ACCCACCTCCCCATTTTATGCTTTTCTGCATCGCATATCTTTATGTGAGCACACTTTAAGAAGAAAGTCTTATAGCACAGGAGCAGGCTGTCCCCAGGTGCTGTAAGAGAAGACGGTGGCAGGGAAGACCACCCTGGCTGAACAGGGAGCTTTGGCTGCAACTCAGGGAGAAAAGGAGAGTTTACAGCCTTTGGAAGAAGGGGCTAGCCACTCACAGTGATTACAAAGATGCTGTGAGGCTATGCAGGGTGGGAATCAGGAGGTCTAACGCCCAGCTGGAAATTAATCTGGCTTCAACAATCAAGGACAACAAGAAATGTTTCTATTGTCAACAGCAAAAGAAAGACCAGGGAGAGCCTCCATCCCCTGCTAGATGCAGGAAGAAACATGGTAACAAGTGATGAGGAGAAGGCTGAGGTGTTTAATGCCTTCTTTGACTCAATCTTGAATAGCAAGACTGGTTGTACTGAGGGAATCCAGCCTCCTCAGCCAGATACAGAGACTGGGAGAACAACCCCCCTGCAATCCAGGAGGAGACAGTCAGTGACCTGCTGCATCACACAGACATACACAAGTCTATGGGACCAGACGGGATACACCGGAGGGTGCTGAAAGAGCTGGCTGGGGTGCTCACCTGGCCACTTTCCATCATTTACCAGCAATCCTGGCTGACCGGGGAGGTCCCGACAGGTTGGAAACTGGCCAATGTGATGCCCATATATAGGAAGGGTCAGAAGGATGATCTGGGAAATTACAGGCCTGTCAGCTTGACTTCAGTGCCCGGGAAGCGGATGGAGCAGCTCATCTTGAGTGCCATCATACAACACGTGCGGGACACCCAGATGCTCAGGCCCAGTCAGCATGGGTTTATGAAAGGCAGGTCCTGCTTGACAAACCTGATCTTCTACGACAGGGCGACCTGCTTATTGGATGAGGGAGACACTGTGGATGCTGTTTATTTTGACTTTAGTAAGGCCTTTGACACTGTTTTCCACAGCATTCTCCTGGTGAAACTGGCTGCTCATGGCAGCCAGTTTGTAGTTCACAAACCAACTTAGCTGCATCTGAATCTTACAAAAGCAGCAAGTTACCTGAAAGCATTCCCAGGAAAAAAACCTTTTTACTCAATAGCTACCAGACAATTTCCTTTTTTTCAGCAGTTCTCAAAATAATCAACATCTAACAGAGTATACTGTATGCTGAAACAAGTAATACAAACACATGTGAACATAAAATTCTCATTAGATTTGAATTTGAAAATGTTTTGCTTATGAAAACAACACTCCATGACACATAGAAAAACTGTAAAGAGCTTCTATATTAAAAAGTTGCCACCAGACTTCCACTTCAGTGGATCAACTTTCAAATGTTAATAATTTCACAAAGTTTGTTTTCATTGAAATTTGGCATATTGACTCTCAAACTATGCTATAGGGGACCTGTTTTGTATTTTTTAACAAAATATTTAATCAAAATGCACAGGGATATTTTCAAGAGCTATTTCCAATCTTGGACGGAGTACAAAAACATTTGCTAACATAAAAAACTATCACATCAACAGAAGATGCTAGAATCTCACAATCTAGCAAGGACACAGAAATTTTTCAGTGGCTTGGTGAAAACAGCTTTTGATTTAGTGTGTGACTTTTAATTACATAATAGTTCTTGCTGACAAAATTAATATATGCCTCTTAAACAAGTGAGAAACTTAAGTGCAGTGTCAGGATACTGACATTGCTCAAACTGCATTCTGGCCTTCCTCTGGAGCTGTCCCTTCTCTACCTGTGCATGCAAACACGCCTTTGCAAACACTACCAGCCAAAACGGCTCGACCCAAAGCATTAGAATACCCAGCTGACATCCTATTACCTTTCTCCTGGATGGTGAACAGTTACAGTTTGAACAATGTTTAACTATAAGTGTAAAAATACTTTTTTCTTTTTCGATGCAGGTTTTGAGAGTTGAAGGGAAAGAAGTTGCCTAGGGAAACTCATCAATTATGTCTGCTTTGAGAAAGAAGTCAGTCCTTGAAGTCACTATTGTAGCAGCAAATCCATACTTGTTCACATGTTCCACTAAATCATAGCAACCATGCAGTCACTTTTGATGTCCGCTAAGTGGTACTGAAACCAAATTTCAATGTCTTAACTGAAAGACCGTTCCATGTCTTTTCTTGTTAACAACATCCATTATTAATTTAATTTATGACCGCTTCCTACTTAACAAAACTTTTAGATGTTTTTCACCTATTATCTCTAATCAATAGACAACAAAATTAAACGTTTCTGTAATCTCAAAACCTATGCAGAAGGAACCAACACTCTAAGAGATGAATAAACTGAAAAAGGATCAAAAGAGAACACACACACACACTTCAGGCAAGTGCAGTAGTTGCTGACTTACTATTTCTTTATTCTCCTCTTTGCAATTTATTTCTTGGATCCTCTCCAAAATGTCTTTCTCAGAAGGTTTAACTATTGCAGATCCATCGCTGAGTAGGGTAGCAATTTGCTCTTTAAAAGTCACTAAAGAGCTCTGAGCAGTCCTGGCCTCTTCTCTGCTGCTTTTCAAGTTTCCATCCAGCTCAGTGGAAGATTTCTTCAGATCGTGTAGTTCCTGTTTTGAGGCATTCAAAACTTTCTGGTTAGCAGTCAGTTTATCTTGGAGGTTTCTGATGTCCATCTCCAAACTCTGTCTCCCTGTTACAGCGCTGTCAAGATCCTAAAATACATGAAAAATTAAACCAGAATTTTAAAACCTGTTATAACCCCTCTCCTCCATGCACAAAGCAGGGAATAACTCAGAAGCAGGTACTGCAGATAGAGAAATCAGGATCCATATTGCTCATATGGGCTCAATATCAGGGCTTCATAGGAAAACTCCCACTGAAACTGATGAAAGCCCAAAGCTGCTTTCATCAATCACACTTTAGACTAAACTCTTGCAGAGGCCTGCAAAAACTAGTACATGAATAATATTTGCATGTAAACAAAAACCAATTTTTTATTGTGAAACTATCACAATCTTTTTTTTTTTTTTTTTACTCAGATAATATGATTAGAAAACAGTAAACAAGATGGAACACAAATAAAGCGAAAGTACTATACCTCAGAGAGGAAATAATAGGATAGCATTGCATAGCATAGAATATTTCAGTTGGAAAAGACCTACAGTGATCTAGTCCAACTGACTGAACAATGTACTTTTACCCTTGTACTCGGCACTGGTGAGGCCGCACCTCGATTCCTGTGTTCAGTTTTGGGCCCCTCACTAAAAAAAGGACATTGAATGACTCGAGTGTGTCAGAGAAGGGCAACGAAGCTGGTGCAGGGTCTGGAGCACAGGTCGTACGAGGAGGGGCTGAGGGAACTGGGGGGATTTAGTCTGGAGAAGAGGCTGTGGGGAGACCTCATCGCCCTCTACAGCTCCCTGAAAGGAGGTTGCAGAGAGCTGGGGATGAGTCTCTTTAATGAAGTAACAAGCAATAGGACAAGAGGGAATGGCCTCAAGTCACACCAGGGAAGGTTTAGACTGGATATTAGGAAGCATTTCTTTACAGAAGGGGTTGTAGGAGTTGGAATGGGCTGCCCAGGGAGGTGGTGGAGTCCCCATCCCTGGAGGTGTTTAGGAGTTTGCGTTGACATAGCGCTGAGGGATGTGGTGTAGCTGAGAACAGTGTTAGGTTAAAGGTTGGACAAGGTGATCTTCAAGGTCTTTTCCAACCTAGATGATTCTGTGATTCTGTAATTCAGAGCTGACCAAAAGAATACATACAAACTCTGAATATGGTGCTAGGAGCAGAATTAGAGATGATCTCCGAGATCAATTTACCTGAATGTGACAAAAATTCTTGAGATTATTTACACATAGAAATGGGGAGTGAGAGGCCAAAAAAAAAAAAAAAAGACAATGATGTTAAGATAGCAGAAAGTATGGTGGAAATGCTCAAATGTCAACTTCACCTCAAAGAATAAACCCTTAGATTGTGAAACAGTCAGAAAAATATTCAAAAAGGAAGGTATTCTGAGCTATGTCATCATCTGAAGAAAGCAAAATCCCTATTACACAAATTTGCCTGAGGAATAGAAGAAAGTCAATGACGAGCTATGTGTCCTTCTACAGAGTCTACAACTGCCCCCATCTGCTGCCCAGCTGGGCTGTTGGTGTGCAGAAGCATGACTGGGGAAGAACTAATGGGATGGCAGTTCTAGCTAATATCCTTGTAACTTTAAAAAAAAAAAAAAAAAAAAAAAAAAAAAAAAAGACTACATCATCGTCAGTAGGTCGACAGGATACTGTAAAATAAGGCTACCTGTTGAATAGCCCATAGGATTTACTGCTCAGGGAAATCCTCAGATCTCTGGCATTTTGTCATGGTTCTCACTCAACCTCTGACACCTATGGCCCTTTCCTTCTAAGCCCTGAGACTTTAAAAGTTATTTTTCCCTTTACCTTCTGATGAATCAAGACACAGTTTGGAAAGCAGAAAAAATATACAGTACATATATTTCTACATCAGTTGTATAGAAAATATTGACCCAACAGGGCAGAACAGACAGACAGAACTGTGTACCTTGACCCATGATGCAAAAACAAATGGTGATAGAAAAGTGAAAGAAAAATAAGCCATGTAAACATAAAGAAAAAATCATACCTCTCATTCAGACAGCTTGTGAACCTCTTTCCTTTACCCACAGTACCAATATTAAGAGTGCTTACACCTTCATATACAAGAATAAAATTTGCAGTGAAATCAACTAAAAGTATAGTAAAGACTAAGACTTTATTCTTTGGGGTATTATCTCACTGATAGGAACAAATGGCAAGACAAAAAATTGTGTTAGAGGATAGCATATTTATAGAGAGTGATTGAATTTCTGTGGAAGTTTCACTTCTTTAGTAGAGACTCACTAGGTGGATTGATATGAACTAAGATCGTGTACCTGGAGTTAAAGAATTGTTCCCAGAGCAGCTGTGAATATGGTGACCACTTGAGGGTCTCTCAGGGTCTATGTGTGCTTGCTGTGTAGCATAATAAGTCATCTGTATTAATGGAATACTTGCCAATCAAGTAGTAAATCTAGCAGTGTATTTATCGAGATCACCACTGAAGATGGACAAAAAAGGAGTTTGGGAGGCACTTTGGAAATAAAATATAAACATACAATACTAAAAATACTAAAATTTTTAAATAGCTTCAAAAAGAAAAACATGCAAACACATAAATGAAAACAAACCAAAACAAACCCTGTCATTTAGGAAATTATTTGTTACTACCCCTTTCTAACGTAATTGTAGAACTCTCTTGGAAACAAATGTTGGCATGATTCCTTGCCATTCTCTGTTTTGTATTCTAAACAAGTCCCATTAATATAAAATTCCCACCTGTGCTCAGAATTACATTATGGTAATTACAGCAAAGAATAAAGAGTGGTTTATTTCAATTACAGTTTTCAGCACTATGTATCTTTTCTTTCAGAAAGGCAGTGCAAAAGTAGTTTGCCAGTACGAGGGAGTTTACCTAATTAGAATCTTTTTTTCAAATTGTGAACATCTGCAAACAAACACAGTTGAATCAAAAGATCAAGGTATAAAATAAGGAACTGCAGCCCGTTTATGCCCAAACATTGGAAAAAAACCAAACCACAACTAGCAATTTACAGAATGAAAAGCCGTAACACTCAAAACATTAAAATTCTGAACAGTCCTCCTTGAAACCTCTCTTGGAGAGCATTTACACTAGCTAGCTTCAGCAAGGTCAGCCTAAGCACTGAACAGCATTTGGAAATTTAGGAACTGTGGCATGTAAAGGTGGGATCCCAACTACGTGCAAACCCCTAAGAGCCTAAGTGATTGGTGCAGGCAGATAAAACAATTTCCATCACTTAAGACTGAAAAGATGAAACTGCAACAGCTCATGTTTTCTCTTTGGCTCCTCAACATTTATGGCTTATGTCCCATGGTTCTGAATTATATAAAGGGTTTGATATGCAGCTTGTAGGGTCAAAAAAGCCACTGACACACAACAAATTTTGAAAACAGGAATAATTATAGAAATGGATGTTCAAAGAAAACAGAATTAGGTGGATTTACCCAGGATAGACCATGCCAATGACACCTGTGTTAGACACCAGGGATGCAGGAGATCTACCATGGCCACACTCACCTGCATAAAAAGCAACACCAAGGGTTCTTTAACTATCTGAGGTCAGAGGAAAAGGGCTCATACAGCACAGTACCATACATAAAGCTACCCACTCAGGCTGGGACACAGCTTACGCACACTCACCTGCTGGCACCCCTACCTGTGGTAGATTAGAGAAGATGTAAGAGTACCCAAACCATTGTACAGAACACTGACAAGGCCTCCCTCATGAGAAATCATGTGTTCTGTATTGTATCAGCCACATTCACAGAAAATGCATTCAGGCTGTAACAGGTGGGGAAAATTACTTCTGCCTTTTAAGCAGAGAAAGAGAGGGACTCTTTTATAAGGAACAGCTAAAAGAACTGTATTTAACACTGCAAAACAAAATGAAGGAGATACAATCGCATTAAACAGGCAGACAGATGAAAGAAAAGAAACAAGAAGGGATAAGATCTTTTAAATAACAATACATATGAATACATATCCTCACTGTTGATCTCAATATCTACAATACATTTTTAAAAAACTGTGATAACTCTTCCTTAATATACTGTATTTTTCCATATTTCTCAAGATTTCAACTAGCATGTTCTATGCATACATGTCTGCTGGTCTGTCATTTCATCCAATAATAATTTTTTTAAAAGTGGATACCAGTCAAAATAGTCACTATTTCTGAGACAGTTTTAAGTTTTAGTTTACATACTATAAATAATAATTAATCTATTTCCACTTTGAATTTCCTTAGAATGTCTGAGTGAACACTGCCTACTCCAAAGTGATCCCACACTCAGTTTTCCAGAGCTTTAAATTACCTCCTCTAGTTCTCCCTTCCTAAAAAAAAAAAAATAAAAAGTCAAACAAAACCCCCAACCAACCAAGCAAAAACCAAAACCAAAAAACCCCCACCAGTACAACTGAAGTAGATTCAGAAAAAACACAACAGGTCCACCTCCCAAAAGTACTGCAGCAGTTTATTATGGTTGTAAGTAAACACAAATTTAATTGCTCATTTACCTAACTTTATATTGCAAAAGTTAAGATCTTTCCTTTCATCTAATGCAATAGATTAAAACAGGCTGTGAAAATGTTTTTTTTCTAATTATTTTGCATGCATGGCATTACAGAAGTATGCCCCACACTATTAAAAAAGCCACTATTGTGGCTTTGCAGATGAGGTTATGATAACACTGACTTTTATCTTCAGCACCAGCTTTCACCTTCTAAAAAAAAAAAAAATAGCAAAGAAGGTATAAAAACTCTCTTTTTGTACTAAAATTTTTGGCCCTAGGAATGATTTTGTTCAATTTTAAACTGCTGAGCAAATTTATTTTTATTTACATGAATTTTTAAAATCTCTGGGCTTCCAATACTAAAAAGAATCCAACTATATTTTCTTATCCACTTGCATGCTGGAATCAAGCTCAGGGACTTGCAAGTTTGGCAAGGTTTAGTTTCAGAACTCTGCAAAGGTCTTCCCACAAAACACCTTCAGAAGAGAGGGTGACATGAAGGCTTGTCTTTCCAGTGAGCCCTCTGAAGCACTGTGAAGCTTTAATTAACAATCTTTCAG